GTTTTAAGCCGGGCGGAGCGGCTGGTTTAGGACTGAGTTTGGCAGCTTCGCCGCTGCTTTTCTACGAGGTTGCCCTGCCGCTTCCTCCTTTAGCTGGTGGGCGCGCAGTAACCGCAGGAGCTGCTTCTGGAAGGGGTTTCTCTTGATACCAAGGAACATCTCTATGGGGAAGATGCCGGGGTTGTGTGGGGTCAGCAGTAAGCGAGCAGGCCGAGTGCTGCATTTCTGGAACTGCAGCAGTTTTAGCCAAAAATGGAATTTAAAAAAAAAAAAAAAAAAAAAAAAAAAAAAAAAAAAAAAAAAAAAAAAAAAAACAAACCAAAACCCAACTTTATTTTCATGTGAAGTCACAAAGGGAAGTCTGATGCTCCTGACTTCAGTATCTTTGCTGTGTGGTGCTCCAGCTGACAACCAGGCATCGTTTACGGGGCAGGATCTAACTGGGAAGGCACTGGAGTGAAAGCTGCCCTAACCATAGCTCCAAACCTGGGGGCGACTTTTGCGTTTAGCACATAAATCGAAGAAAAATCGGTACCTGAGGGGAGCCTCAGGCCCTCTGGAGCTGTTGGGAACTTTATTCCCCTTTGAAATAAAGAGCAGAAAAGCAAAAATAAAACAGTTGTTTTTAAGTTGCGGTAGCAATGTGTGTGCTATTTTGTGATGTAGTTTCTCTGAGAGTTTCTTCTGATTTTTTTCAATATTCCGGTAAGCTCTGTCTGTCACCTCGCAGAACTTTTTGGTTATGTAACTTCTTTTATGTAACTTTTTTATGTAACTTTTTTTTTTTTTTTTTTTTTTTTTGATAGCTACAAGGGTATTACTGAGTTACAAAGTGGTTTTTGCTAGAAATGCTTTCTTTCCCTGACCCAGGGATTTGGGAGTGGAGCTGTGACTGCCAAAGGGCTGGAGTTCAGCTGCTGCTTGGGATCTGGGCCTGGCTTTTCTGAACAGGAGTGGTGTTCAGGCGAGGGGTGTTCTGAGGTTATCGAGTCAGGACCAGAAAATGTCATCAAATATTATGGCTGGTTTTTAAAATGCAAACTAAATGTTAACATTCCTCCCAGTCTCATAAGCCAAATGTATGAAGCAGAGCAGTAACTTTGACAGCAATAATAGATATTAGGAAAAGGGGACAGAAGAGGTGGGGAAGCCCCCTCTCCTGTGAACTACTGTTTATACTTCAATTTCTTTTGGTAAAATATCACTTTTAACGCCTTAAAAACCTTTTTCTTAGGGTATGTGCTTTGCTTATGGTAAGAAAAACAAATTGAAAAGACATTTTACACTTGAAATTACTTTTTTTTTTTTTTTAACAGCTTTCCAGCTTTCATGTAGAACAATGTCATTATTTCTTGGGAAATTCAGAAGGTGCCTAATTCAGGTGCAGGTAAAAATGCTGTGTTTGCTCTGCTTTACTCTTTTGGGGGAATTTAAATAACAGTGCGGTGTCATGCCCTGTGCAGGGCGTTTTACTACTCAGGTGCTAAACTGCTGCTCTGCCCAGTTTGTCCCAGTTTCTCAAAGGATCAGCAGAAAAGGAGAACTCAAACTCCAGCCTGTTAATCTCTGTCATTGACATTGTCAGCCTGTTCTTTTTGTCCTAAACCAACTTTTCATCATTCATCCATGCACTTCCAACATCTGTAGCAGGAGAGGAACAGCCCAGAACCCTGTAGGCT